TTTCTTATAGCAAAGAAATTATTTGCTATAAGCAATCAAATTGTGTAAAAAAAAAAAAAAAAAAAAAAAAAAAAAAAAAAAAAAAAAAAAATACTGATCACTTCCCCAAAGTAGTACAATGTTACTATGGTAACATTATACTACTTTGGTCATAGTGTAATATGAAAAGAAAATCTTAAAGAGAAAAAAATGTATATTAAATAAAAAATAATAAAATTAAAAACATTTTTTTTTTTTTTTTGTGCTGTCACCAGTCAGTGCCCCTGATCACCGCCACACTAGTTATGATGCTGTACTGCACTGGTGACAGTATGTAAAAAAAAAAAAAATTAAATTTTTTTTAATTTCTTCATTTTCCAAACAATTATGACAAAAAAAAATTACAACTTCATAAAACTCGCCATGCCTCTTATGAAATACGTTAGACTGCCTACTTTGCAAAAAAGGAGTCATTTGGGGGGATATCTGTGCTGTTGTAACATTTTTTGGGCCTCAAGAAATTAGATTGGCTGTCAGTACTTCAGGACTGATCAATTTTCAGATATATCCCATAGTTTGTGAACTCTATAACTTTCCTACAGACTAAATAATAAATACTGATTTGGGTTATTTTCACCAAAGAAATGTAGCAGAATACATCTTGGCCTAAATTTATGAAGAACAATTATTTATTTGCAAACTTTTATAACAGTAACAAAGAAAAACGTGTTTTTTGGGGGTTTTTTTCAAAATTTTCAGTCTTTTTTTGTTTCTTTAGCAAAAAATAACCCTAGTGGGGATTAAATACCAACAAAAGAAAGCTCTATTTGTGTGTGAACAAAATTATAAAAATTTAGTTTGGGTACAGTGTTGCATGACCGCGCAATTGTCATTCAAAGTGTGAAAGCGCTGAAAATTGGCCTGGGCAGGAAGGGGGTAAAAGTGCTCGGTATTACATAGTTAGAGGCTGAAAAAAAGTCCATCCAGTTCAACCATTTAAAAAAAAAAAAATAACAAGTTATCCTATACCCACAGTTGATCCAGAGGAAGGAAAAAAAAACCCAGCAAAGCATGATCCAATTTGCTCCTGCAGGGAAAAAAATTCCTTCCTGATACCCCATGAGGCAATCGGATATTCCCTGGATTAACTTTACCTATAAATGTTAGTAATATAATAATAATAGTGATTAATCTTAATGAGGACATTTTGATGCCATTTTTTTCTATCCTTCTCATCTTGAGAGGATTGTACTTCATTCACTGGTTTGTTTTGTGGGTGGTTAGGAGTGCCCCCCCACTATGTATCCTGGGCTCTGCTTGCCCATCTGAGGGCCCGGGACTGACATAGTGGGTGCCGCCGAGTAGAGGGGACGGAGGAGAGTGGACACACGTCTGCTCTCCTCCCCATCTTGTTCCTGACACCCAGAAGCGTCGTGTATGACATCACTTCCAGGGCCCCGTTGTCCGTGTCCCCAACCATCGAGGCCGGGAAGAATGTAATGCAGTGTGATCTGTACTGCATTACATTCAGTGGAGCCCATGAGAGACATCCAGGATCTTTTAGACCCAGGATGTCTCATTAAAGAGAACCTGTCACCACAAAAATGATCACCCAAGCACATAAAATCCCCCCCCCCCAAAAGACATTTGAGGCCCCGCACCGCCACAAATACACATGTACAAATGTAAATGCATGTGTCGGGGTGCCTACGCATGAAAACATTGATTGCGATACACGTTACATCAGGGCTCAAAAAAACCCTAGGCGCCAGGTCACCATGGTGACCAGAAACTGGGCTCCCAACAGCCCACCTACCGCCAGCACCAGGCATGAGCAACGCCCACCGCCCTACACCCCGGATATGCGGCGCCGGGCAGCCAGTCCAGCTCCAACAATCAAAAACCAAAAAAACTAGCTTTGCTGCTTACTTGCAGCAGAGCCAAAGGTTTTTCCTTTCCTCCCCACACACCTGCACCCCTGTGCACTCTCCTACCCCCTCCCTAAGCAGACCCGCTGCCGCTATTCAGAAAGGCTCCCCCCACACACTCCACCCTCCTTGACACCAGCCAATCCACGCATCATGTCCCAGCCCTCCCTCACGCATGGCGCCGAACACAAGAAGGGAGGTGAGCAGAGGCCAGCTCACTCAGCATGCCACACATCAAAAACTTCAACCCCAACAACCTCAAGTGTCAAATTCCCACACCCCGAGAGCCCCAAAGGGACATGCATCCCCCAATATCACTCAGTGAGAAAGCTTTCCCACCCAGCAGCACCACAACAAAATGAGACAACCACCCGACCCCCAAATAAAGCAAATCATTTTTTTTCTAGTTAAAAACTAGAAAACCTCCTAAGCTTCTTAGCTGACTTTTAGATTCAAAGCAAATTTGTCAAGCCTTGCTCATATATACCCAGTGAAGTGACTAGCCTCAGGTGAGATTAAACAAATCCTCCTACATAAGTTGTACCAGGTTATCTGCAGTCATTTCTTCTCTATAGCCATTCAAAGTGCAGAATTTATACAGTTTGTCTGAGCTTCCAGAAAATAGGGAGGTGGGAGCTGACGTTACACTCTGCAGAGTTCACTGAGGAGAGCTGATTGGAGGAAAGGAATACACCCCCTTTCACACTGCACACAGGAACACAGCTGAGGCTGTCAATCACAGGCTGTGTGCTGGAGCTCCCTCCTCATCACCTCTTTACTATTGGTGACAGAAAAACTTGTAAGAAGTGATTCATGCAGATAGCAGAGGAATGACACAGCAGACGGAAATGACATTTAGTGCTCTAGATTGAGATAAGTACACACTACTGAGGAATATGCTTTGTTTATACACTGCTCAAAAAAATTAAAGGAACACTTTTTAATCAGAGTAAAGCATCAAGTCAATTAAGCTCCCTGGATATTGAGCTGGTCAGTTAAGTAGCAGAGGGGGTTGTCAATTAGTTTCAGCTGCTTTGGTGTTAATGAAATTAACAACAGGTGTACTAGATGAGCAACAATGAGACGACCCCAAAACAGGAATGGTTTTACAGGTGGAGGCCACTGATATTTTTTTTCCCTAATCATCTTTTCTGACTGTTTTTCACTAGTTTTTGCATTTGGCTAAAGTTAGGCTGGCCATACATTATACAATTCTCTTGAGATTTTTGGTTTAGATTTACCAAAAACTATATAATAGGAGGTCAAACCTCACCTGACCTAAATCCAATAGAACACCTCTAGGATGTCATGTTTCGGTCCATCCGATGCTGCCAGGTTGCACCTCAGACTGCCCAGGAGCTCAGTGATGCCCTGGTCCAGATCTGGGAGGAAATACCATCGTCTCATTAGGAGCATGCCCCGACATTGTCAGGCATACATACAAGCACGTTGGGGCCATACAAACTAATGAGTACCATTCTGAGTTGCTGCAATGAAATTTCAGCCAAATGGACTAGCCTGCTGCATCATTCTTTCACTTTGATTTTTGGGGTGTCTTTGAAATCAGTCCTCTGTAGTTTGATCACGTTCATTTCCATCAACCGATGAGGAGGCATCCTTATGTTCCTAACACATTACTCAGTCCATATCAGCATAGAGATCCAGCAGTATATTTTTCACCATTGAGATCTGATGTGTTTTCAAAATGATCCTTTAATTTTTTTTGAGCAGTATATTTCATGTCAGAGATTTACGAACACGTTAACCTAGGAATCATGAGTGTGAACACCTTTCAGTTATTTTCTATTCTTTTAAGGGCTCATTCACACTTTTGTTTTTATGCAGCAAATTGTGTGCATTTTGCTGTATAAAAATGCATTTCAACTAGAATCCTATTCTTTCCTGTGTGTTTTTTGTTCACATCTGATTAGCGTGTAAAATAAATATATGGGCCCTTTCACACCAATGCATGTGAACTAGCACACACACACTGCATGCACACAAGTATATCCAGCCTAAAAGAAAATTGTTCCGTTCAGCAAGCTTGTACACTATGGCACTGATTAATCAAGCGAAATCCATACTTCTGATTTAAAAAAAAAATGCTTGGGAAAATGTGCAAACTCTACGCTGGTTTTGGGACCCCAGAAAGACAGCTCTATAAACAATGAAGTAGTGAATGAATATCGGAAACTCTGGGAAAGCAACTGACATTGCATACTGGCAGATGGGGGTTCTGTAAAGCTGCAATTCTCATTTTAAGGCTCCATGTACACTGCAGCTGGTACACTCACATTAGGAGCTTTTCTGCATTTTTGTTTCAGTGGCCCCTGAACTCACCCTAATGTTTTCCTATGTGTCCATGTACACTGTCATTTACAGGCAGTTGATTTTCACAGTTGTTTTTTTTAACGCACCAAACTTCAGGAGTAGATTTTAGCAGCGTTTCAAACGCCAAACGCTTGTAAACGCGGCTAACTGCATTTATAAGCATTTGTGTTTTAGAAACATTTTTTAACTCTTCCATTTCCAGATGCTGTCTGGAGCCTTTTTTCATCATGAAAAATGCATGCAAATCGTTTTCCCAGTACTCAAATGGACCTGGTACACCATACTTTGAAGTTTTGCATGAAAGAAAATGTTAGACCCTGCTGCAACAATTTCTGCACAGAAATGAGCTGGAAAACATCCAAACACCACAAAAAAAAAGACAGCTAATCTCAACAAATACTGCTCTCTCTGCTTCTGCTCTCTCTACAGTATTTCTCTCAAAATAGTTTTTTACTGTTAATTTTTCACTGTTTTTCAGTGCATTCTGTGCATTTTGGAAGGTCTTCTGAGGTTATCTTTAAAAAAAATGCTTCTAAATGCAAACTCTCATAAACGCAGTATGCAAACGCGGCTAAACAGATGTTTTTTAACCTTCGTTTTCCAGCAGTCAGTTTCCATCGTTCAGAAGTGTCCCGTATACATGGAGCCTAAATCACATCATCAGCTTGTTTTGCTCACCTGCATACAATAGCTTTATGGTTTTAAATGCACTTTTGTTTAAAGGTTTATCTGTTTCCAACATTATCTACATTTTGCTTTTAGACAGATGAGATAAACGAAGAAAGGATCCCATCTCCAACTCCTCAACCAGAGAGTGAAGAAAGTGACTTGGGTAAGCTAAATGAAAAACAGTCATGCTGTTCCATAATTTAGTCCATTATGTGTTTGTAATCTATTTTGTTTTTCAAACCAGACATCGGAAATGAAGGAGTTATTGCACCAGATGAAGAGCCCCCTCAGGAGATGGGAAATGATGATATAGAGGTAATATTGCTGTGTTTACTTGGTATTAGTTTTGCGCCAGACGCTGAGGGTTACAATTGTATTCACTTCATTTGGAGGAGTTGTGCTTGCCACATATCATAGGCAAGTCAGCTGTAGTGCACATGATTATTCATCTGACACCTGGCAGTAGGCACTGCTGATAGTTTTAGCAAATAGATCCCAAACAATACACAATGTGTCTGTGTGTTTTTGGAAAGTATCCTAATGTGTACACTACAGCTAAATTCTGGGTATTAACCAATTGCCTTCCAGAGGATTTACCCCACTTCCTGACCAGGCTTTTTTGGCGCTGCATTACTTTAAGTGATAATTGCGCGCTCATGCAATGCTGCACTCAAATGAAATTTATGTCCTTTCTTTCCCACAAATAGAGCTTGCTTTTGTTGGTATTTGATCACCTCTGTGATTTTTTTTTTTTTTTTTTTTTTTTTTTCTTTTCTCGCTATAAAAAAAAGACCGCCAATTTTGAGAAAAAAAACAATATTTTTGACTTTTTGCTATTAAACATGTCCAGTAAAAAAAAATCTAATTTCATCATAAATTTAAGCCAAAATGTATTCTGCTACATGTCTTTGCTAAAAAAATAAAAAATCCCAATACATGTAAATTAATTGGTTTACATGAAAGTTATAGTGCCTACAAATGGCGGTGTGTATATATACTATATTTCTATATTTTTTGTACTAGTAATGGCGGCAATCAGCGACTTATAGTGGAACTGAGACAGGCATTCTGACACTGGGGGGGGGGGCTGACTGTCACTGACATCCCCAGTGACACCAATACAGTGATCCGTGCTAATAAAAAGCACTGACACTGTACTAATGACACTGAGCAGGAAGGGGTTAGCATCTGGGGCGATCAAAGGGTTAACTGTGTGCTGGTTTGCTGTGTATGTGCTTTACACTGTAAGCACACTACTTTGTATGACTATGCTATGCAGAGCCATACAAAGCAGTGTGCAGGAGCTGACGGGAGAGATCTGTATCGTTTACATACAGGTCACGCCCCTGTCCGTGATACTCGGTGATTACTGGGTACCAGCAGGGAATAACCGGCCGGGACCCAGTGATTGACAGCCGAGGACAGCGATGTCAGCATGATTTTGTGCACCCCTGCTGACCTGCAGCAGTATTTCTGCTATAGGGCGGCGGGAAAGTGGTTAAAGGCCAAGTTCACTTTTTCAGGCAGAATTTCACTTTCCCAGTGTGCTGCTCTTTCACTTACCTCATCTATACCAGCTTTGAAATATAATGTAATTTGAGTGTTTGTAAAAGGTTTTTTGCTTCCATCACTTCCAGTAGACCAGGTCACATCCAGGGAGTTTTAAATCCCAGCATGCACTGCCTTGCTGAATCACAGAAAAGTGCAGAATAAGGTGTGTTCACCACTCTAGACCACACCTCCCTCATAACTATACAACCTTCCACCCACTTTCTGTACAATCTGATTGTGCAATCTCCTTTAAATCTACCATCAGCTATGTAGTGCAAGGGCCTGTCTGATTTGATACAAATTAAATGGATTGTTCAGGTGGGTCTTCCTGTTCCATAGTTCTGGTAAATCTAAAGGAAATTGTACATAAATTGTACAATCAGATTTCATAGTGTATGGCCAGCTTTACATAAGTACATAGGAGGGAATTCACAGGGACACTCGGCTGTCAGGCCCCATTCACATCTCCGTGTACTGAGAACTCCTATTCCTACAAGCAGGTTTTTTATGGGGCTGTTTTAGAGCACTTTGGCTCTTCATGCATAGGGAAGCCCATTCACTAGAATAGGCTGCCCTCTCAACAATGACCCCACAGAAGCTTCAGAACTTTTTTTGGAGTGGAGCATGGTGAGTTTTTTACTGCACTTTTTGGTGCATTTGTTGTACGACAAACGCATGCCTGCTACCTGCTCTTGGTGTGCCTTTAACACGTAATGACAACACAAGCACAATGTGCATTTGCATCACATTTCTGAAATCCATGGCAAAGCACATATTTTCTGTGCAGATTGCTGTTCGTTTACACAGATGTGAATGGAGCCTCCTTGTTCTTGCATAAACACACCAATTTCACTTTCAGGCCCCATTCACACCTAGTATAGTGGGAGCACATGTTTTTTGGCCACTTTCTCCTGTGACACACATAAGGCAAACATTGATTTCAATGGGCTGCCCTACATGTGGCAAAGTAGGACATTTTGTTGCAGTTTGCACATTTTTTTTATGTGCGTTTTGCTTCCTTTGTCATTTTGTTTTTTCACATGGTAAAATGTGTTTGTTTCTGTGTTTGGAGTGCCTTTACCCTCTTGCCGACCGCCTGCTGTTTATACGGCAGGGCGGTGGCAGTCCAGGGGCGGGTTGCTGTTCATAAACGGCACCCACCTTTTCTAGCTGTGCGCACTCCTTGGGAGCGCGCAGCACCGCGATCCAGTGTCCACTGTGTCCTCCGGACACAGTGAAACACCGATCGTCGGACGGGACCTCTGTACGAGGTCCCGATCATGTGATAACTGATAGGCCAATCAGTGATCAAATGCAAAGTAGTAAGCAAGATGTCACTTGTGACATCATTGCTTACTACGTGTGAAATCTGTGAATGATCACAGAGGTCACATGGTACAAGGCTATTCACAACAGCCTTGTACCATGTGACAAGGTGTGACCAATCACAGCTCACTCAGTATTTCTCAATGGCTGCAAGAATGTAGACAGAGAGAAAGAGAAATGATTGCTTTTACATCCTATATGGGTGTAAAAGCAATCACTGTAAAAAAAAAAAAATCTTCATCACCCCCACAAGTAGTACAGTCACCATGGTGACACTGTACTGCTAGGGTGACAGTATGTAAAAAAAAAAAACCCATAAATAATAATATAAAAATGTAAAAAAAATGTTTAAAAATTATAATTTTTGGTTATAAACTAATTTGGCTTATTTTTTTTTTACTAAAAATATAACGGAATAAATTTTGGTCAAGATTTATGATGAAAGATTATTTATTTGCAAAAGTTTATAAGAAAAACACTTTTTTAAAAAATGTTTTGGACATTTTCATTTACATAGCAAAAAAATAAAAAATCCCAGCGGTGAATAAATACCACTAAAATAAAGCTTCATCTGTCTCAAAAAAATGGTAAAAAATTCATATGGGTGCAGTATTGCATGACCGCGCAAATGTCATTCAAAGTGTGATAGCGCTGAAAGCTGAAAATTGCCCTGGACAGGAAGGGGGTAAAAGTGTCCGGACAGGAAGTGATTAACAAATCGTGCCACCAAAACTGGAACTAGTTCATTTTCGATATACAGTCAGGTCCATAAATATTGGGACATCGACACAATTCTAACATTTTTGGCTCTATACACCACCACAATGGATTTGAAATGAAACGAACAAGATGTGCTTTAACTGCAGACTGTCAGCTTTAATTTGAGGGTATTTACATCCAAATCAGGTGAACGGTGTAAGAATTACAACAGTTTGCATATGTGCCTCCCACTTGTTAAGGGACCAAAAGTAATGGGACAGAATAATAATCATAAATCAAACTTTCACTTTTTAATACTTGGTTGCAAATCCTTTGCAGTCAATTACAGCCTGAAGTCTGGAACTCATAGACATCACCAGACGCTGGGTTTCATCCCTGGTGATGCTCTGCCAGGCCTCTATTGCAACTGTCTTCAGTTCCTGCTTTTTCTTGGGGCATTTTCCCTTCAGTTTTGTCTTCAGCAAGTGAAATGCATGCTCAATCAGATTCAGGTCAGGTGATTGACGTGGCCATTGCATAACATTCCACTTCTTTCCCTTAAAAAACTCTTTGGTTGCTTTTGCAGTATGCTTTGGGTCATTGTCCATCTGCACTGTGAAGCGGCGTCCAATGAGTTCTGAAGCATTTGGCTGAATATGAGCAGATAATATTGCCCAAAACACTTCAGAATTCATCCTGCTGCTTTTGTCAGCAGTCACATAATCAATAAATACAAGAGAACCTGTTCCATTGGCAGCCATACATTCCCACGCCATGACACTACCACCACCATGCTTCACTGATGAGGTGGTATGCTTAGGATCATGAGCAGTTCCTTTCCTTCTCCATACTCTTCTCTTCCCATCACTCTGGTACAAGTTGATCTTGGTCTCATCTGTCCATAGGATGTTGTTCCAGAACTGTGAAGGCTTTTTTAGATGTCGTTTGGCAAACTCTAATATGGCCTTCCTGTTTTTGAGGCTCAACAATGGTTTACATCTTGTGGTGAACCCTCTGTATTCACTCTGGTGAAGTCTTCTCTTGATTGTTGACTTTGACACACATACACCTACCTCCTGGAGAGTGTTCTTGATCTGGCCAACTGTTGTGAAGGATGTTTTCTTCACCAGGGAAAGAATTCTTTGGTCATCCACCACAGTTGTTTTCCATGGTATTCCGGGTCTTTTGGTATTACTGAGCTCACCGGTGCTTTCCTTCTTTTTAAGAATGTTCCAAACAGTTGTTTTGGCCACGCCTTTTTTTTTGCTATCTCTCTGATGGGTTTGTTTTGTTTTTTCAGCCTAATGATGGCTTGCTTCACTGATAGTGACAGCTCTTTGGATCTCAACTTGAGAGTTGACAGCAACAGATTCCAAATGCAAATAGCACACTTGAAATGAACTCTGGACCTTTTATCTGCTCATTGTAATTGGGATAATGAGGGAATAAAACACACCTGGCCATGGAACAGCTGAGAATCCAATTGTCCCATTACTTTTGGTCCCTTAACAAGTGGGAGGCACATATGCAAACTGTTGTAATTCCTACACCTTTTGCCTGATTTGGATGTACATACCCTCAAATTAAAGCTGACAGTCTGCAGTTAAAGCACATCTTGTTAGTTTCATTTCAAATCCATTGTGGTGGTGTATAGAGCCAAAAATGTTAGAATTGTGTCGATGTCCCAATATTTATGGACCTGACTGTATAGAGCTGGCAATCTCACCAAAACTATATAGTAGGAGGACACACCATCTAGTCAATCACTCTGTATCCAATCAGACAGACCCTTGCACTGCCTAAGTTGAAGGTGGATCCAAGGAGATCTGTATTCAGTGAGAATGTTGTCCCTTGATATTGATTATGTGAGCACACAGAGGTGGGCAGTGTCATCTCTTGGAGGTGGGAGGGCAGGTGCACAGGGTGTGTTATTGAGGTCAGCTGGTCAACTCCTTCCTGTGTCTTGGCCATCCAGGACGTAAATGAGAAGTTTTGCATACAACCATTTAGCTGCTGAGGTAAGGGCTGGATTAAGATATTATAGAAAGCCTTTTATTTTCTGCAAAAAAGATAAATTAATGGTATATTCGTATATAGGGGAGCTGGAATTTAGAAAAAAAAAGGTGAGCTTATCCTTTAACTATAGGTGACAGCGGAGAAAACTTGCTACAGTAAGTAGATGTATGGGACATTTGTGTAAATGTTAGATATTAACTTTGTTGTGTGTTTTATTATCTTCTTATAATGCAGGTCACGGAGGAAATGATGGATACGGCAAATGAAAGAAAAGTAGAGGCTATTAATGCTCTGGGAGAGGGTAAGAGCTTTTATATTTAGGTTGGTATTGCTCTGCTCATAAAAAAAAAAAAACTTTACTCCGTAGTGTAATTTTTGGCACTTTTTTTCTTTTTTTGCTGCTTTTCACAAACACTTTTATTAGAGTATCTAAATTCTACAAAGCACTACCCAAAATACAATAATAGGCCAATGGTAGGCATTCCAGTGAGCTCTGTTGTCTTTGGCATGCATGCTAGAACCACACTGTGCAGAATTCAAAAGATTATAGGACAGACTGTGGTACAAGTATAATCTAGGTAGAAGAGGCAGAAAAGGGTTCTGATCCCACTAATGTTATTTATAATGTATGCTTGTAGTGAAGTTTAAGACGTCAAATCATTTTTTTTTCTACCTTGCCAAAGATGCTCCTTCTTTAAAGGACTCCTTGGAAATCAGAATCTTTTTCGAGATTTCACTTTTTTGTGGCAGACTCACAGCTACACCACATTTTGCTTAGAAAGTGACAGAATTATCAGGGATTTTTAATTCGGAACTGGCAGAGAATTTTAGACTGATAGATGAAGTTGTTCAGGCGATGAAAACTGAGAGCCAATTGTTTGGTGGCTCACTTAAACATGATCTCTGTCGCCATCCACAGGATCCTTTGACTGAGTTGGTCGGTTGATCATGCTCCCAAACAATTTTTAACCTATCTCTTCTTTTCGAGGATAGAGGCTTTCCTGACCTTTTTTAGATAAGATAATTAAAGTAATAGTAAACAGTCTATATAAAGGGGAAAAAAAAAAAAAGGTTCCCTTGTAGGTTGAAGTCATAACATGGTAGTATGCAGTGCAGGCTTACCTCTGAAATGTTTCCCTCTAGCAGCGTGCTCTCACCACTGACAAGAATTCCATCTTCACTCGGTTTTCCTTCTGAGCTCACAAGCTCTGGCCGTTTGAATGGCGAGTCAAGATGACGTCACTCCCGCACATGTGCCATGATCATGGCACAGCACTGTTAGTGGACGGCATTCTGGAGTGGGGAATATCTCCTAAATGGTGCATGTGTCGGAGACATTCACTGTATCTACAGGTAAGCCTTATTATATGCTTACCAGTAGGTACAAGATAAAAAAAGGAGTTTACTACCACTTTAAGAGTGTCACGGGTTGTAAGAGTACTTTCCTTCTCTAGATTCACAAACACTTTGCTGAAAATGCATTTTCCTTTTGTACACACATGTCCCTTTCATCCACAGGCTATCCCCACAAGATCTGCCTATTCACATCTGGTGCCCTTTTGTAATGTCCAACCCAATAAATTTCCCTCCAAAATCTTACTCTGCCTCCTTCCCTTACTCTATCAATCTGGTGAATTTTGGCTATGATTAAGCGCTGGTAAAGCGTGAAACACATTAGCCCCTAGTCCAGCTCTCTTTTCTTTGCCTGTTGTGCTGTTTTATGGTATTGGAAAATAAAGATGCTTTTGCGGCTATCCAGATTTTTTTTCCTTATCTTGTCAGTTGCGAGCTGAGCCAGTGCTCCTTTTTCAGAGCAGTATTTTTGTGCGGCTTTTTCTGCAGCACTGTTCTTGTCTCCCTAGGACCTATCCTCTCTAACGTTGCTTAGAAACCACCTTAACGAAAATCTACAGACTTCAGGGCTTGTCAGATTCAGATACACTTTACTCTTTTCTACTGCACAAATTACCCCTCCTACATGACGAAGTGTGAATAGGATTTCCAGAAGCCCCTTGCAGCAGAAGAGTGGAACCAGATCTCAGTTTCTACATCAAAAAGCTTGGCTGACATTCTAGCCACCTCCCACCATATAGTAATATGACGGACGCAAGGTGGTTCTCTCGTTCTGGGAGGACGTCATATGATGTCCTCCCATTCTAACCACGCATGCGCGGCTCCCGGAGCGTGCGGCGATCGGCGGTGCGCTGTGTTCCTCGGATGTCGGCTCGGTCATGTGATCAGTTGTGTCCAATCACAGCTGATCACATGTAAACAGGGAAATGCCAGCTATCGGCATTTCTCTCCCCACGAGCTGTCACGCTGACACCTCGTGAGGAGAGCCGGTAATCGGCATTCCTCAGAGGGGACATGTACACAGATCATCAGAGCACTGATGATCACTGTGCCCTGATGATCTGTGTAGCCCCAGCAGTGCCACCTGTCAGTGTCCATCAGTGCCAGCTCTCAGTGCTCATCCATGCCACATATCAGTGCCCATCTGAGCTGCCTTTCAGTGTCACCCATCAGTGCCAGTCAGTGCCACCTATCAATGCCAATCAGTACTAACTATCGGTGCCACCTATCAGTGCCGCCTGTCAGTGCCATATATGAGTGCCTTTCAGTGCCCATCAGTGATGCCTGTCAATGCCCATCAGTGTCCTTCACTGCAGCCTCATTAGCGCACATCAGTGAAGGAGAGAAAAATCACTTATTTACAAAATTTTATATCAAAAACTAAGAAAAAAAGTTTTTTTTTTCAAAATTTTCAGTGGTTTTTTTGTTTAAGAAAAAAAATAAAAAACCCAGAGGTGATTAAATACCACCAAAATAAAGCTCTATCTGTCACAAAAAAAGTATAAAATTTTCATATGGGTACAGTTGCATGACCGCGCAATTGTCATTCAAAGTGCAACAGCGCTGAAAGCTGGAAATTGGCCTGGGCAGGAAGGGGGTTTAAGTGCCCTGTAAGCAAGTGGTTAAGGAGGAGCTAACATACAAGGAAAATGATAAACTTTCGTGATGGTATCTAGTTCCCATCCAGATTTCTCATTTCATTCCTTTATTCACCCAACTGCCTCAGGTCTGTTATGCAGCGTTATATTATTTTGTTCATTGTTTTATCAGCTGGTATACAAAGTGACTGTGAGCTGGTGGGGGGCCTCTTACTTTAGGGGCCCCTATGAAATCTGCTTAAAGTGGTTCTAAAGCCTATATATGTTTTTTACCTTTAATGCATTCCTTGCATGAAGGTAAAAAAAAAAATTACAAGCAGCAGGAGGGGTTGCTTACCTAGCTTCATGGTGCAGATTCTTTTTTTACCAAATCCCTTGGCTCCCAAATGGGTGGTAGTTTAACTACGGCTGATACACTTCAAACAAAGGCTGCAAAACACAAGGTACTCTCAGATATGTGGGCTGGCTCTGGGTACAGCAGTGGCCTGATGTCTAGTGCAGTGTTGTCTAGTGAAATAGAATAGTTTCTACCCCCAGTCTTCTCCAAGCTGCCCCTTGCCCTGGACAAAATCATTCCTTACTTCTGTTCTGCTTCTCCCTCACTTTACTCCTCTCCAAATGCTGGAACCTACGTATAGTGTTACCTTTTTGCCCCCATTTTCTCTTTGCTGGAGCCTTCTTGGCAGTAAGCTGCAGTCAGAAACTTCACTGCCTTCTGATTTTCGCAGCCTGATTCCCCTCTTATGATCCTGGTACTCTCTTCCTCATCCCCAGCATCTGAATTGAGGCGTTCCTGCACATGACGAAGATCATCCTTCTGCAACAAGTGATTCGTTGTGTGATTAAATAATCCCCAATACCTCTATGCCAGTTTGGATTTCATTGGCGTGCATATTTATTCAGGCGTTTACCTTCATTTTACCTCCTGAGACCTTACCTTGCTCCAGAGGATCTAGTCCATTTGGGGTTTTTTCCAGTTCTTCCTTCAACCTATTCTTTGCAAATAAAAGGTAATTTTGAAACCTAGGCCAACTTTAAGGCCTAACATTGTATTTCTTCTTCCATCTTAAAGTGTATGTTCAAAATATATATATATATATATATATAGGCAGGACAAGCGTCGTACCGTCATGTCCGCCCAAGTGCACACCTTTGGGGACGCTGTGATTTAACTCTGGTACCACATGATCGCTGTGACCAATCACAGCAATCGCATGAACCGTGGTAGACAAGGGCTTTGTTTCATGATGCCATTGTTTACTATTTTGAGCTCTGTGATTGGTCACAGCGATCACATCATACAGCGGCACTGTACTGTGTGATAGCTGTGGCCAATAACAATAGTAAAAAAATTAAACAGATTGCTTATATTGTGATCATCACTGTATAAGCAATCCTAGTGTAAAAAAAAAAAATCCTTATCACCCCTAGGGCAGTACAGTGTTTACTGACATACTGTCACTAGAACAAGTGTAGTGTCATGCTGGTGCCCCCAGCCATTGTCTCTAAACACTGCCACAGCAGTACAATGCCACCAGACCAGTGCGTGCTGCCAGTCAGTATCCCTAATCACTGTCGTCCATTCATTGTCCTTGATTACTGCCACTCGAGTCCCGGTGTCCCTGATCAGCGGCCACTCCAGTCCCGCGATGTCCCTGATCAGCGGCCACTCCATTCCCCCGGTGTCCCTGATCAGTGGCTACTCCAGTGTCCCTAATCAGTGGCCACTCTAGTTCCCCGGCGTCACCAGACATTAGTGACGGCGTCACTAGTTCCCCGGCGTGCAACCCAGCACTGTCAGTGATCCCTGTGTCCTACGGACACAGCTGATCAGATGACTAGGTAAAATGCCAATCACAGCGGCCTTTTACCACGTGATCAGCTGTGTCCAATGACACAGGAGGTCACAAAGTAAATACAGTTGCCGGTTATCAGCATCACTTTCCTCACGCTGTCACAGTGTGAGGAAAGTACTGCCGATAACCGGCAAATGTCACAGAGGACATCTGCACTGATGATCAGTGCCACCCACCAGTGCCCATGCATGCCCAGCAGTGCCACCCATCAGTACACCGCAGTGCTACACATCAGTGCTGCCAGTCAGTGGTGTCAGTCAGTGCCGCCTGTCAGTGCCCAGCATTACTGCATATCAATGCCCACCCGTGCCACCTCATCAGTGCTGCAGCGCTGCCTATCCGTGCAACCTCATCAATACACATCAGTGAAGGAGAAAAATTACCTGTTTGCAAAATTTTAGAATAGAAACAAAGAAAAACTTTTTTTTTTTTTTTTCCAAATGTTTTGCTTTTTTTTTTTTGTTTGTTTTGTTTATAGTACAAAAAATGAACAC